TACTTAGCTGTCAGGCTCATGTTGAACAGGGATTTGCTCACAATATCTGGGAAAAAAATTCAATTTTGCATATTTTATGGTAAAAACTTTAAATTTAGCATGTTTTATGGTTAAAAAAAATGTAAATTTAGCAGATTTTAGGGTTAAGACTGTAAATATTGTACAATGTAGGGTAAAAAAAACAACATAGATTTCGCACATTTTAGGGGAAAAAATGTCAATTTTGCCAAATTTTACTCCCGGCCTATCAGAGCATGTGTTAAAGTCTAAAGTTATTTATCTACTTACTTAGTTGTCAGACTCATGTTGAACAGGGATTTACTCTGATAACAACTTAATGGTTAGGACACAGACCTGTGGGTTACAGATGCTAACGCTAATGCTAAGGTGGGATCAGACTTAAAAAAAACTGGATCTGGAGTCTGGATCTGTCAGTATGAGTCAGATTTATCAGGTTTAACCAGTTTTATTTAGACAAATGCCCCCCTACCCACCCATCCACCCCCCCCACTGTTTCAACATGTTTACAAACTGGTATTTGACACTTTTAAAATGCGACGGATGTTTGATCCTGAGCCAGGTGGCTGCAACAGGCTCAGATTTGATGAAAACGGATCAGAGAGGAGACCAGAACCGGGACTAAAGGCTAAAGGCCCCGGTTCTCCGTTAGCATAAACTCAAAGCTGCTTCTGTCTGTCTGCAGATATGAGGAAAGCTCTGTCCAGAGACACGGAGAAGAAGTCCATCATCCCGCTGCCACACCCCGTTCGGCCCGAGGACATCGAGTAATGGGGGGGGGTTTCACTTCCTGTAAACCTGCCGTGGACATTTGCTGTAGAAAAATAAATCAGTCACAGTCTGAGTGGGCGTGTCAGACGGGTTTGGTTTAAAGAGAGACAAGAAGAAGAAGAAAAACAAAAAAATAAAAAGTAGAAAATCCCACTGAGGGCCAAAACGGGAGGCTAATCTTTCTCCTCCACACGGCTCTTCTTCTTCTTCTCCTCCATCTTCTTCTTCTTCTTCTTCTCTTGCACATCCTCACTGTCGCTGCTGCTCTCATCTCTGTATTTCTTCTTCTTCTCCTCTTTCTTTTTCTTCTTCTCCACGTCGTCCTCACTACTACTACTACTACTACTACTGTCATCTCTGTATTTCTTTTTCTCCTCTTTCTTCTTCTTCTTCTTCTCCACATCGTCCTCACTGCTACTACTGCTGTCATCTCTGTATTTCTTCTTATTCTCTTTCTTCTTCTTCTCCTCCACCTCGTCCTCCTCGCTGCTACTACTACTGTCATCTCGGTCCTCCTCCTTCTTCTTCTTCTCTTCTTTCTTCTTCTTCTCGTCCTCCTCGCTGCTGTCGTCTCGGTCCTCCTTCCTCTTCTTCTTCTTCTCCTCTTTCTTCTTCTTCTCCACATCGTCCTCACTACTACTACTACTGTCATCTCTGTCTTTCTTCTTCTTCTCCTCTTTCTTCTTCTTTTTTTCCTCCACATCATCCTCACTACTACTACTACTACTACTGTCATCTCTGTCTTTCTTCTTCTTCTTCTTCTCCTCTTTCTTCTTCTCCACATCGTCCTCACTACTACTACTGCTACTGCTATCATCTCTGTCTTTCCTCTTCTTCTTCTCCTCTTTCTTCTTCTCCTTCTCCTCGTCTTCTTCGCTGCTACTACTGCTATCATCTCTGTCCTGGTTCTCCTCCCGTTCGGCCTCATATTTTCTGCTGGCCGCCTTTTTTTCGGCCGCTGAAGAAGAGGATGAGGAAGAGGAGGAGTCCCGTTCGGGCGGGGCCGCCCCCGGAGGAGCGCCCTCCTCCTCTTCCTCCTCTTCGTCCTCGTCCCGGACCTGCTGCTTCTTCCACATCTTGGCCATGGCGAGCAGCTTGAGGTTGGGCTGGTTGGCGGCGTCCTCGGGGAAGATGTAGTCGTAATATTCCTCCCAGCCCGCGTCCGACTGCAGGGGGAGGAAAATCAGCATCAGAATCACAACGGGCCCAAAAGAAAACGCTTCTGTAACGTTTCCCTAACGCTTGTTTACGTAGCGATTCTATAAAGTTCCCGTAACGTTTCCATAACATTTCCATAGCATTTTCGTTATGTTTCTTTCTTTAACGTTTCCGTAATGATTCCGTAACATTTCCGTAACATTTCAGTAACGTTTCTTTAATGTTTGCTTCCGTAAAATTTCTTTCTGTAACGTTTCCGTAGCATTTCTGTAACGTTTGTTTCCGTAACATTTCTGTAACGTTTCTATAACTCTCCGTAATGTTTCTATCAGTCAGATTTGTTTCTATCACGTTTGTTTCCGTAACATTTCAGTAACGTTTCTACAACGTTTCTGTAAGATTTGTTTCCGTAACGTTTCTTTCTGTAACGTTTGTTTCCATAACATTTTATAACGTTTCCGTAACGTTCTGTAACATTTCAGTAATGTTTCTACAACTTTTCTTTAACGTTTGTTTCCGCAACATTTCTTTCTCCAACACTTCCGTAGTGTTTCTATAACGTTTCCGTAACATTTCTATAACGCTTCTTTCCGTAACGTTTCCGTAGCGTTCGTTTCTATAACATCTCTATGAATTTCCGTAATGTTTCTATAACGTTTCCATAGCGTTTTCGTAGCGTTTCTGTAACATTTCCATAATGTTTCCAAAGCATTTCCGTAACATTGCCGTAGCGTTTTCTTTACGTTTCTTTCTGTAACGTTTCCGTAATGTTTCTAGAACTTTTCTGTAACGTTTGTTTCCGTAACATTTCTTTCTATAACACTTCCGTAATATTTCCGTTACGTTTCTGTAGCACTTCCGTTACGTTTCCATTACGTTTCTATAACGTTTCCAACACCCTCCACCTCCACCCAGAACCGGAGAACCGGCCCTTTCCGAACCCCTTGCTCCCACATCCTTTGGTTCCCGGACCTTTCCGCCTCCATATATGACCCCTTTTTGGTTCTTACCCCGTCTTCGGCGGTCATCTTCCTCCTCTTCTTCACCTTCTCGGGCAGCAGCTTGCGGACGCGTTCCCTGGTTCCTTCGGAGCCGAACTCCCTCTCGAAGTCCCTCCAGGACTCCAGCAGCATGAGCCGCTCCTCCTTCTCCTCGCAGCTCCTCATGCCCCTGTTGGCCTCCTCGAAGATCTGCCGGCACCTCTGCAAACGCTCCGGCCCCTCCAGGGACAGCTCGAACTTAGCGTAGCTGATCCAGACCTGAGGAGGGAGGAGGAGGAGCCCAAGTCGGCCATTTTGATTAGTTTTCTGAGGTGGAAACGAAACTTTACAGTCTATAAGAAATCAGAGGATAAACCATGTACTAAACCTGACCCTAAACCTAAACATGACCCTTGTCCTAACCCTTATCCTGACCCTAAACATGACCCTAGTCCTGACCCTAAACCTGACCCTAATCCTAAACATGACCCTAGTCCTAACCCTTATCCTGACCCTAGTCCTAAGCCTAAACCTGACCCTATTCCTAAGCCTAAACCTGACCCTAAACATGATCCTAATCCTAAACATGACCCTAGTCCTAACCCTTATCCTAACCCTAAACATGACCCTAGTCCTAAGCCTAACCCTAACCTAAACCCTGCCGCTCCGGCCCCTCCAGGGACAGCTCGAACTTAGCGTAGCTGATCCAGACCTGAGGAGGGAGGAGGAGGTGAGCGGCCATATCCAGGTCGGCCATTTTGATTAAGGTTAGGGTTAGAGTCAGAAGCTGAGAATAACCCGCATCGGTTTGGAGGCTCTGGGGTGAAAAGTGCTAACGAGGCCGATTAGCCTCTGGTTGAGGCCTGTAGGAGCCTCGGTTTGATATCCAACTCCTCCCACATCCAAGTTGGCCATTTTGATTAGGTCATGTGACTAGAAGTTTTCCGAGGTGGAAACGAAAGTTTACTATCTATTCGAAATCGGAAGGTAAACGATGTACTAAACCTAAACAAGACCCTAAACATGACCCTAATCCTAAAAATGACCCTAGTCCTAACCCTAAACATGACCCTAGTCCTAACCCTAAACATGACCCTAGTCCTAACCCTTATCCTGACCCTAAACATGACCCTAGTCCTAAGCCTAAACCTGACCCTAACCCTGCCGCTCCGGCCCCTCCAGGGACAGCTCGAACTTAGCGTAG